TAAAATCGAGGCCAATTAAGCATCTTGAACTTGCGGATTCACAGCACAGGCCTCGAATTTCACTAATTTCTGTAATTTTTCTCAGTAGCCAAACAGAAAAGGGAAAATTTTAAAAAGCTGGCACCTTTTGGGACTGGACAGTGATGCCGAAGGAGGGGTCGAGGGAAGCGGCAACGGCGGCCTCGGCGGAGTCCTTGGAGCGGAAGGCGATGCAGCCGACGCCGTCGCGGTCGATGCGGATGCGGGAGATGGAGCCGTAGATCTCGAACCGCGATTTCAGGTCCAGCACCGAGCAGTCCGGAGCCAGTCCCATCACCACCAACGCCGGCGGCGGCGGCGGCTTGGCGATCGGCTTGTCTACCACCTCCTCTTCCGGCGCCGGAGGGTGGGGCCGATGCCTTTTCGCGGCGTAGGCCGGGACGTGGCGGGAAGAGTTGTAGGGTTTATCTCGCTTCCGACTCATTTTTTATTTAAAGAAATTGGATACCTTTAAAAAAAAAAAAGAGAGAGATATTTGATTGGAAGTTTTTGCTAGAAAGATATTTGATTGGAAGTTGGAAGTGAACTGAAGTGTTTGGAAATCGCGGTGTAAATAAAAAAAAGAGTGGAACGCCAACGACGAAGCACTTGGAAGCAGATTTTTCTATAAACGGTTTACTTCTGGACCTCTGGTTTGATGAATTGTTTTTCTCCGTTCATATCCGTTCATATGATTTATAATTTTTTACGCTATTTTTTCTTAAAAAAAAAATTCACGTAAAACAATAATAATTTTAAATTATAATTCTAAATTTATGAATTAAATATTTTTTAAATTAGATAATTTGTACATTTGGCCTATCAACTTACATGATTTTGATAACTTGCCCAGTAAATTTCCCATTTTGATAATTTAGCCCCTTAACTTAAAAATTTATTGTAATCTGCACCATTTACTAATTTTGTTATGATTTTTTGTCAAATTTAAGGAACTGAGAAATTTATGTTATGATTTGAATTAAGATGTAAACATTTTCGTTTAAAGTGTTTTTTCATTACTAATTTAACACAACTATCATCAAAATAAGTACTTTGAAATAACTTTTAAAGTTAGGGCGTAAGTAATCAAAATTATAAGTTTAAGGGGCTACAATTTAAGGGATAAATTTGTACCCTTTTTGATTAATTGATAGAATTTTTATTTCTAGTAGTGCCACTAAATTATATCAACTAAGTCAGTTTGCTCTTTCAATTTAGTTTTATAAATAACCTCAAATTATTTACTGTTTTTCAAAATTACTCTTAGATGGTTCAAAACCATTCCAAACACCCATAATCTGTAGAAACCACACAAAATACTACATGCGTGGCACGTCCACTTTTGTGAAGATCCCTAACAAATTTGTTGATGTGGCACTCATTTTAAAATAATAAAACTTAATTAAGTTGGGAAAAAAAAAATGAAAGGCACGAGCTAGGGCATATGGGTGCGAAGGAAGGTCTCTGAACTGAGGTGTGAGAGTGCGTAAAGAACGAGCTGGGTCACCAGGTGTGGTTGGGAGGCAAGTTAAGGGTGGTTGGGACCTGAGCTAAGATGAAAGGTCGGTTGGGGGACTGGTTAGATTGTCGAGTGTGGGTGGATAGGGGTTCCGTTGGGCGAGGAAAGGGAGTAGGTGGGTTTGGTTGTGCAATGCGAGTGAGGACGGTCAATGGTCTTTCTTGGGGAGAAAGAGTTTAGAAACTATAAAAGTATTCTTTTGAATTAAAAACGAGCCTTATGGCTCGTTTGATTAACGCGTTTAAATTAATTATTTTAATTATAAATTTAAATTTTATGAGAAAATTTATTAATAAAATCTTTTTAGATTTAATTTTTTTATAAAAGAGTAAAATTAGAATTATGAGTCTAAGTCATAAAACTAAACAGACTCTTAGAGGACGTTTAGTTGATGAATTCATAATTATTATCAATTTACGTTTATTTTTTGTGAGAAAAAATACTGTAGCGAATCACAAATCATGATTCGA